GCAAAAGGGAGGCCTCCAGAAGGACTTTCACATGCTGAAGAAGACTCATAAGATGCCAGGGGCCTTGCTGTTGTCAAACTAAGGTTGTTTTCCGTCTAGTAAGGCACTAGTATCAAGACAACAGGGGCTTCCTGGAGAAATGTTATACCCTGTATTTGCCTCAAGTATTTGTCAATGGGCTGCAAGTCATAAGGAATGTCAATGGGCTGCAAGTCAGCTGGCTCAGACTGGTGCTTCTAGGGTGAGAAAGTGAATCCCATGCTGTGTGTGCATGTACGGAACACACGTACATCGTAGGAAGTATGGAGACGAGTGGGAAGGTCTGGGGTCTGCAGAAATGCTTCCTCCCCGCCACACCTGACCCACTTCAGGCTGTCTCCAAGCTGCCCTGGGGCTTTGGGGTGGGGAGTTGTTATTGTGTCCTAGGCTATTGTCTCTTTTGCCAAGGGAGGGGATTGCAGATGACTCACATGTGGAACAGGATCAAAATCATCTTTACTTTACCGAATTCCCTCTTCCTCTATGCGCTAAGAAGCTTTAAGGGTGGGGGGAGAGGCTCTTCCAGAAAATTACACCCTGTATCTCCCTTTCTGCTGCTCCTAGGAAGTCCTTTAAGATGGAAATTAGAGCCCATTATTGCACACTTAATTACCCACCAAATGAATGGCATATTTAATGGAAATGGCAAAATCTTCCAACGTGTAAGATTTCTAGTTCATGCATCTCCAGACATGTTGCAAAATAATTCATTAACCTGAGATGTGAGCTGCTGGGGCTGCCTCAGGGGGAAAGCAGGGCCAAGGAATGGGGCCAAGGATGTGTGAACTAATTACCTGACATCCTGTCCCCTCCCGTGGCTCCCCCCCCCCCCCCAGAACTGAGGTAATGGAGAATTTGTTCCTACTGTGCTTGAAGGTGCAGAAGAGGGCCTCTGGGGCCTGAGTCTTTGGCTGAGTGGGGAGAAGGTTGAGAGGGCCCATCTCCTGCCCTCCCCCCACCCCCAGGTTCCCACAGCTACACATCGCAGCCCTAGGCGATAGGTAGAAGCAGCTGTGAGGTGGGGAGAGCTTCACAGATGAAGGCACAAGGCAACAGTCTCTGAGGCAGTTAGTGGGGGGCAGGCTCTATCAGCCCTCTCCCCTTCCGATGTTCTAGCTGCACCCTCTCTGGCTTTAGCTCCAGGCTGTTGTTATATTTTAGGGATGTTTGTTCATTCACTCAGCCAGCCAACATTTATGGAACATCTGCTGTTTGTGGAAAATCTGTTTGTTAATTCAACCGTGCAAACAACCAACCTTCTTATTAAATACCTATTATTCATTCATTTCCTTGTTCATTCATTTGTTTTAAGCAATGAACTAACCAGCCAACATGTATTGAATAGCTACTGATTTTCTTATTCATGCAACCAATCAGCCACAAAGTGCCTACTCTTTGACCACCCATCCCTCTATCCAGCCATCCAACCAACCCACCCACCAACCCACCAGCTAGCCAACAACCAACCAACAATCAATACATTAATTCAGTATTTATTGAGTAGTAAATGCATATTCATTCACCCAGACCACAAACATACACTGAGCACCCACTGTATACCAGGCATTGTGTAGACATGAGGGAAACAAAGATCAAGACACATGTCCCTGTCTTCAAAGAGCTCAGAGTGAAGTAATGATATTAAGCCAACAGTTATTCAGCATTGACTATATATGTCCAGCAATGTGCTAAATGCTTTACATATATTAACTCATTTGCTATGAACAGTGCCATGAAGAAACAGGCATAGAGAGGCTAAATAAATTTCTCAGTGTTGCACAATTTTTGAGTTGATGGAGTTTTGGGGTTTGAACTCAGATTTGTAATTTTTTTTAATGTTTATTTTTCAGAGAGAGAGACAGAGAGAGTATGAGTGGGAGTGAGGCAGACAGAGAGGGAGACACAGAATCAGAACCAGACTCCAGGCTCTGAGCTGTCAGCACAGAGCCACATGGGGGGCTCGAACCCATGAACTGTGAGATCATGACCTGAGCCAAAGTCGGATGCTTAACCAACTAAGCCACCCAAGCGCCCCTCCATGAGCTCAGATTTGAAAGTGTGTGCTCCTAACCATGGCGCTGTCTTCCTAGCTGGAGTAGGGGGCCAGGTATACAATGCACAGAGGATACGTGGGGTTAGCATTTAATAGGGTTTTAAAGAAGGTATAGGAGTGTATGAGCTAGGGGAAGGTAGGAGAGACACTTTGAGCACAACAATGGACTGTAGACATTACAAGATATGGTTTCTACCCTCCGGGAGCTTTTAATCAAACAGGGGACATGGCAGACAGACACAGATGCCTTCACTACAAGGAATAGTGAGGATGGATGACACGTGTAGGTGTAGTTTGTGCTGAATCATACAAGAGGCACAAATGAAATTCATAATAACAGAAGGAAAGAAGAATCCTTTCAGCAGGAGGTGATCAGAAATATCATGATGGAACAGACAGAGCTCAAGATCCACTCTAAATTAAGCCCGAGTGGGATCTCCTAAAACAGAGATGGGGCTGGAGAGAACATTCCAGCAGGTGGAATGGCTTGAGAAGATGGGCTAGGAAGCAAGTTGTGCCCATTTCAGACTCAGGTATGTGAGCGATGAGTTGAAGAAGAGTCTTTCCAGACTCGTTCTGTAGGTATGAAGGGACTGGGGTGTTCATTTAGGGAGATGAGGCTTAGTTTAGTAGGTAGTAGGATGCTGGGAGCCGGACCGGCCTCTCTGGATGGCAGTCACAGCAAGGAAATGGCAGTGTTTGCAGCTCCTGCCATGAGAAATGGAAACTGGTATCTCTTCCTGCTACTACTGGCTCATGTTGGAAATAAGCCTGCTGGTATTGACCAGGCCTCACAATAGTCCATATCAGACCGATATTCCAAACACAGATACCTCATAAGGAAAAGCATATTCCTGCCTTTTCAAAAGAGATTTTAGATGAAAGCTCTGTGGATGATTGTCAAAAGGCTCTTCCTATGGGCCTTGCAGATCCAAGACTTAGACAATAAAGGGGGTTAAGAACACAAGAGTTACAATTGAGCCTGGCCCCGAGACAAAGAGCCTAATTTAGAGTTAAGGAACAGATAAGGGCAGAACTTAAGTTAATACTTACACCTTCTTCTAACTGATGATGTATGGCAGTCCCTTCCCTACTTTTCACAAACACCCTCCCTCACACTGGCGGCTAGGATGAGGATAGATAAGAGTAGCTAAAACATAACCCAAAAACAAAGGCCGACACATTTAGGGCCTTCATGGTGTTTACACATTCGGCATCAAGTCAAAAAGGTTTCCACAAACAACTTGTTAACCATTTTAAAAACATTCGTCTTCTTGGGAGCCAGACAGAATGACTCTTAGCCCATCTATACACTTAACCTATGTCCTAATCCTAGCGTTATTAACTTAGAACAAATATGTATCCTGTCTTTTACTAAGAATACCCTGTTAATCCCTTAGTTATAAGATTTACTTAACCTCACTATAATTGGAATAGTTCTGCAAGAATCTTTCTGTAAGACCTGCTTCTGTACACTTTCCAAAGCATCTTGTCACAAAGAGTTATCCATTGTAAAAATTCCTTTTTCTGATCTCATGTTATCATTTGACCTATAAATAAAGACACCAAAACTGACAGAATGGAGATGCCTGCCTGGTGATCAGAAAGAAATCTCTGGGCTCTCTCACTCTCTCTCGCTGACACCGTCCATCCTTCAGGGACCCCTGGACCTGCTGGAGCCGGCCTCCGGCAGTAGGCAGCCACTGAAGCTTTTGAGAAGGGGAGAGTGTGAATTATTCTGTGTTTGTTCCCTGGTTTGTGTGTGCTAGGAGAAAGACTCCCACAGGCTGTCTTACCCATCTTCCATGATGGCCAGCCTCTCGCGAGGTTCAGTCAATGGGAGCACTGGTGGTACCTCCAATCTGTCAGGAAACATGTTCCCTGCTCTGCCCGTGCTAGTCGGAGCTGTGTCCTTCCAGAAATCTATATTTTTAACCTTTATTATAGGTGATTTTAGTACTCAGGTAGGCCTGGGAATCATTGATCTGTATGCTGTTTACCAATCACTTTCTCTCCTTTAATCTTGGAACCCAAACCAATATTCTCATCGCTATTTTAGAATTGAGAAAACTAAGGCTCAGAAAGGTTGTGATGTGTCCAATGTCTCCAACTTTTCAGCAGAGTAGCTGAGATTAAAATCCACATTTCTGAGTCCAATTTCAGCTTCTTGGGTGAACCAGAACCAAGAGAGGAGATCTTTGCAGTAATTGAGTCCTCATGTTCTTTTCCTCAAACGTGTTTCCTCTAGTTTTTGCATTGCTAAATATTGCCTGTCTCAACTAGCATTTGCTGCACACAGTCCTCCATGGTCCCCCAGCTGGTCATAACCTCATAACCCCGTGACTGCACCCAGTTTGTATTTGCATGTCTTCTCTCCCCATTTGTCTCTAAACTTTTAAAGACAGGCAGTATGAAATAGCATGGCTTCTGGAATCTTTGATCTCTTGTACTCCATAATCTCGCTCACCCGCTCACTCAACCCTTGTATCTCATTGTCTGTGAGATGATGAATGGCTTCACTTATGAGACTCTAGGACACCATTCCCTGATCACTCCCCCATCCCCCCAGGTTTATTACTCACCATTTATGGATTCTTTGTTAGTAATTGCTCAATAAATACCAGCCATTTTCTTATTAGGGTGAATAAGAGGGTGATGAATCAGCCAGCCAGAGATAATTTCTAAGGCAAAGAAAGAGCCCCAAGGGCAGTGTATATTATATTTTATGTCACGAGGAGGGCAGGAAAGACCATTACTACATACCTGTTACATGCCAGGTACTTAATGACACCATCTAATTTAATCTTCCCAACAGTCTTGATTTGTGCATCTATTTTTATTTTACTGAAATTAGTAAACCAAAGTTCAGGGAGATAAAGTTAAATTCTCTATGTCCTTCCACTCTCAGTGGCAAAGCCAGGACTTGAATTCAGGCACATTGGTGCGACTCGGGAGTCCAAGCCCTATCCGCTACAGTCATGGCCTCTTAATTAGGGGTGCCGAGATGAACAAGGTAGAGGACCACAACGCGATGGCAGGGTCTCAGGCCACAAGCTGTGTCCAAGGATCTCAGCTCCACCCCCCTCACACCAATTTCACCAGAGAGGCCCTGAGTAATGGCTCAGCTGGGAGCTGTCCAGCTTCATCTTCCAGACCTACTGGGAAAGACTTCTGAGGTAGATAAAAGCTTTCGAAATGTGATCTAACTTAATACACTGCCGTATTGTTACTAATGTAAGTCCCATTGTGTGTGCCTCTGAGGCATCCAATTATAGAAACTTTCATAAAGAATATGTCTAAGCTGGGGCGACTGTTACTTTTCTGAACAAATGGGATGAGATTTAAGCCATCTGTCTATGACTGGCATTTGAGACTTCAGTGACTATAGTGGAGATTCCAGGCTTCCAAAAAAAGGTAAGGGAGAAGGTCCCCATTATCCCCTCAGGGGTAGCGCTGGAATCTGTGCTGAGAGATCCCTCTGTTGTCATGCTTTACCCCCAGCCTTCCAGCACAGCATGGTGGGAGAAGGCCGCCAACATCAGCATGGGGGTTTGTGTGCGCACATGGGCTGAATTCTTCATGTTAATAAGACATCTCTGAAGAAAGAATAAAAGACTTGTAATAAGTATTCTTCAGTAAGTGGTTAGAGTGGGTCTTGTAACAGATTGCTGGCATCTGGGGACACTGAGTCAAGTCACAATTCAACCCTCATCTGACTGGTATACGGAGAAAGTGCTTAAAATACACACAAGTAGGGGCTCCACTTACCTTCTTTCTAATTTCTGACATTAATCTCCCCTCCTCTTCCCTCCTACACCAAAGCTGTCACCAAGGGGTTCCACTAGGTTCCCTGTAGAGAGCCACCCTCCCTCCTCCTCTCTGTCACTCAAGCCACACGTCAGCAGGCCCTGCACTCTGGAAGAGAGTGTGTGATCCACTTCCCAGGAAAGGGTCCGTCCTGTCACATCTGGCTGTAGACACAGGCACCTCTGAGATTTCTGAGGGTCACACACTGAACCTCATAGCAGCTTGCTTAAATCCTCAGTTTTTAATATGATGACAGGGGAAAAAAATCAATCAGTGTATCTGGTGTTAAATTCTCTCTTTAAGAATGTCAGCTTGGAGGGGCGCCTGGGTGGCTTAGTCGGTTAAGTGTCTGACTTTCGCTTGGGTCATGATCTCGCGGTTCGTGGGTTCGAGCCCCGCGTCGGGCTCTGTGTTGACTGCCAGCTCAGAGCCTGGAGCCTGTTTCAGTCTGTGACTCCCTCTCTCTGACCCTCCCCTGCTCACGCTGCCTCTCTCTCTCTCCGAGAAATAAAAAAAAAAAAAAAAAAGAATGTCAGCTTGGAGAGGTCCTTCCTCTGGGACTTGGAGGTCAAAGGACTTTAGTGCTGTTGTGTGTGGGCGCTTGGAGTGTATGTGTGTTTACATGAAGTGACTAGAGCAGGTGAGAAGTATTGGGTGGGTGACAGAAGCCTCTCCATGTCCTCAAAATGAGCACACGGAGGGGAGAGAGCACTGGGCCTAAGGGTGCAGGCTCTGCTTTGCCACTGGCCTTGTGGGACTAGGCAACCAGAAGGAGAATGGAACATCACAGCCTTGGTGGAGCCCAGCTTGTGGCTGGGCTTTAGGCCTGGCTGTGATAGCCAAGATCTTCCCATCAGCCATCACTCATCAGTCCATCCATTCATCTGTCGTTTCATCCTTCCGGCCAGATTAGTCAATAACATTATCTTCAGGAGGGTTCCAAACTTTAAGGAAGGTTACAAGGCCCAGCCTGTCTCCCCTCCAGCCTTTCTCTCCTGACCCTCTCCTTCGTGCTCTACACCCCGTTGAACTGACCACACTCTCACCTCCCAGCTGTGGTTCATGTTGTTGCCCCTACATCACACCCTCTCTGCTCTGACTCCTCTCCTGGGGTTCATCTTCCACTCACCCTTCAGGCTTGGACTGAGTTTTCGTTTCCTCCAGGAAGCCTGTCCTCACATCCTCCCCAGTGCCCATATCTGAATAAATGCTGCTCCTCATCTGTGCTTCCTTAGCTTTTGAATTTACTCCATGAGGACACCTGTCACCCTCTAGGGGAAGCCATGACTGTCATCTCGTGTTGGCTGGGTGTTCATGGTCTGTGTCCCTGGTGGCTGTGGCTGAGGCTGGTTCTCTCCCTCTTGGGGCCATCCAGGTGGCTGAAACCTCTCCCAGTCATCCTGATTAGTGGGCCTCCATAAAGGGCAGTTGCTACCCATGAAGGAAATCTCATACATTGATCTGTGGTCGGTTTGGGGCATCACAGGGGTTAGGAGGTCAGGGGCTAGGAGATATGTGAAGATTCATTTTGTATGTCAACTTGACTGGGCTAAGGAATGCCCAGACAGCTGGTAAAACATCTTTTTCTGTGTGTGTGTGTGTGTGTGAGGATGCCTACAGAAGAGATTAGCATTTGAATTGGTAGACTGAGTAAGGAAAATTACCCTTACCGATGTGGGCGGGCATCATCCCATCTGTTGAGGGCTTGGATAGAACATAAAAGGTGGAGGAAGGGTGGATTCACTCTCTTTACCTGGACTCAGACATGAATCTTCTGCCCTTGGACATCAGGGCTCCTGGTTCTCAGGCCTTCAGACTCACACCAAGGACTTTAACTTTCAGCTCCCCACGCACAGGCCTTCAGATATGCACTGAATGACACCACTGGCTTTCCTACTTCTCCAGGCTGTAGACGGCAGATTGTGGGACTTCGGGGTCTCCATAATCACATTAGCCAATTCCTAGAATAAACCTCCTCTTAACTCTGTCTCTGTAGATTCTACTGGTTCTGTTCCTCTGGAGAGCACTGACTTCCTTTTGTGCGTTGCTGGGGGCTGGCATCGTGGTCAATCTAGCCCTCTCTGAGCTCTGCATTCACCCGGGGTAGGAAGAGTTATCAGAGAGCCTGTATTTACATGTTCTGAAAGCCTAGGGTCCCTTTCTGCTGGGGAAGACTGTGAAAATGGGAAATCTCAGAGAGGAGTTTGGAGTACTTAGGATTGTGTGGAGGGAGGCAGGCGATCTCACTGCCCCTTGGCCTGTATTTGTTGGTAAATGTACCATCTCATTATGTGTTTCCTGGGTCCTGGAGCTTCTTTCTCCCGTCCAGGTGGGATTTCAAGGCCCGTTGGAACAGAGGCTCCTGGGACAGAAGCAGGAACATGTTACAGGGTTTGATGGCAGAGTCATCCCTGGAATTTTAATTACCTATCTTCACACTATTATGTATTTACATATCCTAATGACGAGATTACACATTTCAATTAGCATGTAATTATGAGTTCTATTACTTAAAGAAAAAATACTTGGGGATAATCGCACAATTACGAAGCACAATTAGAAAATGACATATAATTAAATTTAGAAAAGCGTTTGAAACCCTCCTCCTACCCTCCCATCCCGCCGCCTGTACAAGAGATTTCTTGTATTTATTCTCTCTTTCTCCTCTTCTGCACAAGCGCAGGCCAGTCCAGTGTGAACAGAGGGTCCAGGGACACCCTAACTTGGGGATGTAAACCCTCACGAGCGCTTGGGGGCTTCCGGACATCTCTTGACTTTGGAAGCTCCACCTGAGATTTTGGAATCAGGGGGCATTTTTTTTCAGGTCATAGGGATAGTTGTCCAAAGCTTCCTGGCCATTCCGTCTGCTGGGAGTGCAGAAAGCCAGGGAGCAGAGTGGGACTGGCAGTTCCGGCGGCTGGGACTGTCGCGGGCTGGCTGGGCTCCTGATGGTGGCGGGAAACAGATAGGATGCCCGAAGTCATGTCTTCCACAGCTGCCGCCGCTCCCCATTTTGAAAGCACTTCCATTCCCCAGCTCATTCCGTTCTCCACGCCGTCTGATGAGGAAAGCAGGCAGGTTAAGGGTTCTCACTTCCCTTTTTGGAACGCCTTTCTTTGAACTGTGTGCGTCCACATTCCCAGTGTTTGTCTCTAGTCCTTGGATTTCCATTCTTAGTTTTCTTCCCTTGTTTCTTTTTCTACGTGGCTCACAGATGACATGTTCTTTTCCTCCGCCTCTCTGTCCCCTCTCTTGTTCCTTTCTCTGTCTTTGGCAATTGCAGTGGGGTGGGGGGAGCAGGTGGGGGAAGGTTGGGTGGTAGCAGGGAATGTAGCCAGGGAATGATGAGAAGCCTTCGTGGCACAGAGTGGCTGCTGTTTATACACACATTTCCCCTCCCTCTGGGGCGCGTGGTCGGAGCATCTTCCCTAGACTTCCCTGCAGTTATGCTGTGTGGCGTGTAACTGTGGATGGGGTAAGGTACTGCACTTCCTGGCATGGCCCTTAGAACTTCCCTCTTGACCCTCTACTTTCTCTTCCACCATTTTCTGGCCAAACGCTGATGTCCATGCTTACCTTCAGAGTCCCTTTGAAGAAGGAAGGGACCCCCGGCATCTCTAGAGCAGAGTACGCCTATCATTCTTGCTGCTAATTAGAGTTTGGGCAAGAAAAACTTTTACTGGGGCGCCTGGGTGGTTCAGTCAGTTAAGCATCTGACTTAGGCTCAGGTCATGATCTCACAGCTTTTGGGTTCGAGCCCCACACTGGGCTCCATGCTGACAGCTCAGAGCCTGGAGCCTGCTTCAGATTCTGTGTCTCCCTCTCTCTCTGCCTCTTCCCTGCTTATACTCTGTCTCTCTCTCTCTCAGAAATAAATAAACGTTAAATAAGTGTTGTTTTAGGAAAGAACCACAGAAACTGTATCCCTGATGACTCCAGAGTCCTGAAAACAGGAAGCTAAGATCCAGACCCCATGCAAGCAATGGTCCTGGAGAGCCTGGTCTGTCCCTTAGGCTTGAGTCCCCTGGTCCCCAGACAGCGGTGTCCCTACTGGGACTTATTCATTACCTCCTCTTGCCAAGCTTCCAGGCTCACCGAGGACACCAGCTTAGGATGCTTTTATTTTTTTTTAATGTCTTTATTTTTGAGAGAGAGAGAGAGAAAGAGAGAGAGAGAGCGCACAGGCAGGGGAGGGGCAGGGAGAGGTGGGGACAGAGGATCTGAAGCAGGCTCCAGGCTGACAGCAGAGAGCCTGACTCAGGGATCAAACTCATGAACCATGAGACCATGACCTCAGCCAAAGTCAGACGCTTAACTGACTGAGTCACCCAGGCACCCCCAGGTGATGCTTTTAACTGAAAGTATTGGG